AACGTCTTTTTCTTATCCAAATCGTGCTACGAAAATAACTACATAGCGATAGATCAAAACAAGATCAACTCCATCCTTGCGACCACTGAGAACTATAAATTTAGCTTGCGTAGCAGGTGTCGAAAGGGGTAGGGGACGCAGGCTACTATAAATTCAGTCATGAGCACATTAAACCAACCCATAAAGGTAACCTATTCATCGATGCTCATAACATGAGACATCTTTCCGGTTTCCCTAATTTTTCCAAATTCAGATAGAACCCCATTATGCTTCCATGGACCAACGCATCCCACAGAAACGACTTTAGGCGTCTTGTTAGAGTAAGTTGTACGTGTAAGGGATTCCCCGGGTTTTCTTTACCCGCCCGGGGGCTCTGAGAACAACCTCATCGGAGGGCATGTGTTGGATTGTTTTGATGATTTAACAGTCGGCCTCGTTCTTTTTTGAGCACTTGCCAGTTTTACCTTGGCTCCTACTTTTGAAACGTAGTCGTGGTGAAGAATAAGAACGAGTAGAAAAGTAACGGGACTGAGGACTCGTAAGCTGTTCGTGCCATAACAGCTATATGATACATGTCACAGTACGTAAAGCCGCGCACTTGACGTCAGAGATGTTTCCATATTTGGGTATCCGCCATATGTTTATATGCCATTGCTGTGCAATAACTCGAAATTGGTCCTGGCAATCGAGCCAGCCCGGTCAACCGAGCTTGTGTGGAGAGGCCGTTTAAGGCTCTTTGCAATAATATGAATCACTTTTTGCTGTATACATAAATGGACATGGCATTAACTGCAAGAGTATGATTCTCATCAGAGAATGATTAAAATACAAGAAAAACTAAACATTTGTTGTTGAAAATTAAAAAGGTATTCAACACAAATTTTCAGAGACCCAGCAATGACTATACACTGTTAACTAAAATCCTTTTCCATTTATAGAAATATCTTTAATCACGGAAAGTCTCTTTCGTTTGAGTTTTCTATGATAACAAGCCACAAAATCGGACAAAATTTTCAGAATGCATCGCTAAGAATGTGGGCAGTGGCCATCAAACAACAGAAACATTGGTCGCTTGAGTTTTCTGCTGGTAAATGAACAATATTATTCCAGTAAGTTATTAAAAAGAGCTCACTGAAAAAAATTAGGAGCATTGCCTATAGATAATCACTCAATAATTCGATGATAAGTTCTAAGAAAAACAGTGTTCTGGGATGACTGTTCAAACCACAGGTAACCCAGGCTTTGAGATAGTACCACAGTACCAATCCAGTAAAATGACAGTGTTTGTACGGGGTAAAAATACGATCCTAAAATTTCTGGGAAATACTAAATAAAGACCCATGAAACTTACTCTGCGGTTAGTTGTTGCTGTCGTTAATGCTCCAACGAAGGTATCTATCCGGATTTTTTAAAACGTTACCTCCAAATAGACCTTTCTCCCGGCCAAAAGCAAAAGTAGATTAAAAAGAAGCGACTTTTTAAAACACTTAGCGATAAAAAAGTTGCGTAAAAACTTTTCTTAAAAACACTTTTATTGAATAAATTTTTTAAAAAGTAAAAAAATATACGACGTTTCGACGTGCTGGACGTCATTATCAAGAAACAAATATATATAGTTCGAATGTTCTGTAAATAACTAAACTAAACACTCACGGCGAAGTGTTTTTATGCCTGGTACAAAGTATTCTGGTAACCACGTAACTAAGACTCGGTAAAAGTATCACATCCAGTCAGATGTGATTGCTGGGTGTGACTCAGCCACGCTGCGCAGAAGTCCGCGTTTTCGATCAGTTGCTATTTTATATCTTTCAGCAGGCCTTGTACCACAATACCCTATTTCGCACAAGAAACCAGTCCTAAATTGGAGTTGAAAAGGGTAGATTCTAGGTACAGTTAAACAAGAAATAGTTTTGATATTAAAAAGTAAGGGCAGAGGGCGTTATTTTCAGGCTGCCAAACGTTTTTGAAATGAATCCCAGTGATAACGTGTAAATTAGACGCGTCATAACATTTCCCTCCCTTTCAAGAAGGGTAGATGCCCGCAAGTTGACAATCAAAAGTCAGCGTTAGTCAAAACAGTGCATGAATAACCCGCGATCTCATAGCACAGGAACGAAAATGCGCGTGGGAATTTGTTAAATCTCGAAGCATTTTACGTGAAAACAAGTCCGATGACCCCTCTTGTGGGCTCACCGGCTTAATTTTGTAGTTATCAATGATGGAAGCAGATCAGATCTCAATTATCCTTTGAAGAAGTTGCCATGGAAACCGCTTATGACGAAAAAACAGTTATTTGAAGTCAAGCATTGATATATTTTCCAACTGCACGAAACAGCTGCTCTTGCTTTTGCTTTCTTTGTTTGTTCTATCTTTTCAAAGATGAAACCGTCAAAACTGTGTGAAGAGACCAAAACTGGAACGAGCCTCCTTAAACATATTTTTTAAAATTAGGAATGTCAGTGCCAAATTCATACAAAAACGTCTCCAAATAATCCCCTGAATCATAAATGTCATTTTGAGTAAGCCAGCTGTGTTTATGTAATTTTAATTAAGTGTCAAAAAATGTTAATAGCCATTTTTTTTTTTTCAGTTACAGTTCATACAAGGCATTATGCATTAGTATGATTTGTGTAGTGCTCTATTGCACTGTAGTTTCGTCGTTGAGAACGCAAGTCGAATCCTGGTAAGCAATTTAGAAAGAAGTTGTTCATATCATCAATTACTTTTATTTTACCTGCACTCAGGAATTAGTATTTGTGTTAATCAGAGATTTCAAATGCGTAATTTTTTGATCAGGGAGTGTGTTTTCCTCTTGTCACGCATATAATAGCAAACAATAACCGTTAATTTCAGGCAAAAGAAATTTCGCTTGAACAAACTAAATAATACAATAATAAAAAATAAGGGCCAAAATCGCAATGTTAGTCCTTTGTTTTTACTTAGAAGGTAAAACCAGTACTTACTACACCAACCGTAGTACAAGGGTGTAGGTCAGAGTTATGTCCTTAGGTGAGGTCCAAACCCGAAGTTCAAGCCCGCGACCTTCCACTCTACAATCCAGCGATCTATAAACTGAGCTAAAAAAGATTTACGATATTTACTGAAGCATGATTTGCTTGCATTCATTTACTAGGTGCTATGCAGGTCAAGGATTTCGCTGTTTTCCTCCTTACACTGCTGTCTACGACTGTTATTGCCTATCCTGGCGTTCCAAGCAAGATAGCTGACCTGATAGACAAANTTTTTTTTTTTCTCAGTGACAGTTCATACAAGGCATTTTGCATTAGTATGATTTGTGTAGTGCTCTATTGCACTGTAGTTTTGTCGTTGAAAACGCAAGTCGAATTCTGGTAAGCAATTTAGAAAGAAGCTAGTCATATCATCAATTATTTTTATTTTACACGCACTCTGGAATTAGTTTTTGTGTTAATTAGTGATTTTAAATACTTTGTTTTTGATCAGAGGGTGTGTTTTCCTCTTATCACGCATATAATAACAAGCAATAAGCATTAAGTTAAGTCAAAAGAAAATTCGCTTGAACAGACTAAGTAATACAATAATACAAAATAAGGGCCAAAGTCGCAATGTTAGTCCTTTGTTTTTAGTTAGAAGGTACATCCAGTACTCGTAGTACAAGGCGGTAGGTCAGAGTTATGTCCTTGGGTGAGGCCCAAACCCGAAGTTCAAGCCCGCGACCTTCCACTCTGAAATCCAGCGATCTATAAACTGAGCTAAAAAAGATTTACGATATTTACTGAAGCATGATTTGCTTGCATTCATTTGCTAGGTGCTATGCAGGTCAAGGATTTCGCTGTTTTCCTCCTTACACTGCTGTCTACGACTGTTATTGCCTATCCTGGCGTTCCAAGCAAGATAGCTGACCTGATAGACAAATGGGCTCCGTTGGTGAAGCTTGCTCAAAATGAGACGCTAGTGGAGGCCATCTAGTGTCGACTTCTTCCTGTCTCATTGTAAGATGGAAGGGTGCAGTGACCAGCCCAACCCCTCTGTGCTGACAAGTTCTAACCTGGAGAGGTGCAACAGAGACAGTTACCTTACCACCAAAGAGAGCCTGAGCTGCCCTTCCTGCACTGAGCCTGTTGTTCTCCTTGGTCAAGATCCAAGTGTGGTGCCAGTGTACGTCATCTACAGAGAGCATAACAGTTTCTTAGATATCGCCTACTGGATGTTATTCCCGTACAATCGCGGGAAGCAGGTCTGCATTGGATTTTTTCAGAAAGGGTGCTTTATTTGCCCGGAGTTTTTGGGCCGGTGTCCTTGCGGAGGGAATCTGGGTTGCATTGGAGTTCCTTCATCCCTTTTTCACCACGTTGGAGATTGGGAGAAAGTTATAGTACGTTTTCGGAAAGTCAACACACACTATCAGATCTACTCCATTTGGCTGTCGATCCATAACGACGAAATTACAGCCAAGTTTGGTGGAGAATTCCTCTGGAAAGATGGCTATTTCCAGAAGAGAGATCAAACTGTGGCAATGTATAATGGTACTCATGCAGTAGTCTACTGTGCCAAGGGTTCACATGGAATGTGGCCTGATCCTGGACGTCACGTTTGGTTAAACCTTACGAACGGAGACTCTCTAGAGGATGAGGCCAGCAGTGGTAAAAGTTGGCACACATGGAAACATTTAAAGCCTGTCCAATACGATCCTGATGGCCAATACAGCGGCGAGTTCAAGTTCATGGGATTCTTAGGCCGGTGGGGAAACCGAAAGCGCGGCTGTGCCATCGTAGAATTGTTCATTAAGGAATGCCAGCTTAACAGCGGTCCAATAGGTCCCTCTCGCTTCCCTAACTTTGAAACTTAGTTGCAGCTCTCTCTAAGTGTTATTTGTTAAATAATTCAAGTGCTACTTAGACTCTTATGATGAGAAGTACTGTATTAAAAATGTTGGCATTCAATTGTTTTTTGAACCGGTTAGGCCTCGTAGTTTTTGAACTGTTTGTGTGATTCCGTATGAACGGAATACCTCAACGTAGGAGTCAGTTTCAACCGGTTGAAAATTCATCCAGTACTGTGTCAACGTAACCGAAATTGGTGTTGGGTCAGAAGAAACAGGTTATAGAAATAAAACAATTTGACAAGCTAGATATTAAGTTCTTTTGCTTTGGCGCTTCTCATTCCCGAGAAAGTTTAATTCCTCGATATTCCCATGATTATTTGCATACCTAGCACAACTAAATAAGCATCAAAGTTAGTTTGATTGGCAGTTAACTAAAGTAGGCCGTGATAATTCCTGTGTAAATGAAAACTAAGGCAAGTATTATTTGTCCAGTGGGCTGTGTACAGTAGTGTGGATCATGTTCCTTTTTTCAAAGAGGGGATAAAAATTTTTAAAAATAGTAAACTTAAAGTACCTTGTTTTCAGTAAGCAAAAAAACTGACTTGATTAATTTTTTTATAAGTAACAGATCACTTACTATATAACGTTTAATATATAGATTTAGACAAGGCTAAGGGCGAAGCCCCGGTCAACGAATTTATAATGTACTTCAAACGATCAACTTGTAACCAACGCAAAGAAATCCTCTTAGGGTTGATCCTGCGATCAACTGAAAACTAGTAACTTATCGGCGAATAAATTCAACCTCGATGCATCGACACCTGAGCCCGCGATTTTGTCATGTGATACTGGTCAGTGGATACTTTGGTTTGACAGCTGTTAATTGACCACAACATGGATGTGTAATATAGGCCGGTTGCAGGCTCCCACACTAGCTGGAGAGTGTGAGATTTCACATTGGTTTCCCTGTGGTAGGGACGCACGAGTGGACGGACGTAGGGTCACGTGACTACCAAAATTTCTCGGATGGATAGATAACCAAATTCTCTTAGCTACAGGACTCCGCGCGCGCGTGGAGCTCCCTTGTAAACTTGTGTAGTTGTAATGACCAGTGATTAATTCCAAAATTATTTTAGTTTATTGCGCTTTCGTGAAGTGTCCTGATCGTGTACATCACACATATGAAACGTAAAGGAGTCGAGGATATTGTTCAGCAATGTTGGTCAATTCTGTGCTTAAGTCATGCTTACAGAGCCCCCGCTTCACCCATATACAAATTTCCTGTAGAGTTATGAAGATATGAATCAAATTTTACCAGAGAGCGAACGATAATAATTTTCAGGTGATTTTTGCAGGCATTGCATTAAAACTTGAAAAAAAAAATGGCAAAATGTTTTGAATCCATGTCCAATTTTTTTCCTTACCATCCGTAGCGAGAGACGCTGTGACAGGAGACTTGTTTCGATGCCTAAATATCTGGCCGGCCGATTTTTGAAAACGTTTTCACTAAATGGACCTTATTTTCCGTCCAACAGTTTTTTTTTCGGCCAAAAACTATCTCCAAAGTAGCCATTATAAAAACTAAGAGTGCAACCATTGCCTTTTTCTTTTCTCCTCTTTTCTTTCTCCTCGCTCTTTCTTTTTCTCATTTCTTTTTCCTTCGTTAGTATGACTTCGGAGCTTCTCGGGCCCAACAAAAACCTGCCTTTTGACGCCTTTTTACTCAAATGACTGCAAATTTCGTTAGGCTGGTTTTCAAAAAATTGCTAGATACAGTTTACAACACAAGATAAATAAACAAAACCGGACTGTTATCTTTGTAATTGAAATGATGCAAAGACACGTTTTAGCCTTTTACAACAATGTAAAATAAAAAAAAAGCAAATTTCGTGACAGCCCCTTAACACTGCTAGATTTAAATTATCTCCAAGCAGAATTAACTGTCGACGAAATCCTATGGAGGTGTCACCATTTAAATAGAAAACTTCCTTGGGAGAATTTTAGCATCGTCCTATTTATTTCCTAGGAATTTACAAAACGAAATTTGAACTTTTTTTGACCTTTTTTGGTCACTATTAGGAGAAAATTTTAGGGTCAGTTAACTTAAGGCAGAATTTTGCAACAATTTCCTTGATTATTTACATAGCTGGGACAACTAACTAAGCTATGTTTTAGTGATTTGATTTGCAGTTAACTTAGTCAAAAAAAATCAGTTACGATAATTTGTTTATAAATTCGATGTAAATGAAAAATAGATTAGTATTATGTGCTCAGTGAATTGTGTAGTGTTAGTGTGATTCACATTCATGACTGCCCAGTTGAATAAAATAAAGTGGAACCTCTATTCAGGAGACACACTCTGGACTGAGGCAAGCGTCCCTAGAGGTTGGGCTGGGGTTTGTTAGTAATAAACCAACAATTTAAATATTTTTCTTTTAGTCTGCCTTGGAATCTGCTGTAGTCATTATTCCAAGCAGCTAGATAAAGCCGGTTTAAAAAAATCACGATTAACGTTTCTCTGTGATATTTTGTGTTGATTTCCCGGCACAAGTCCAATACATCGATTCATGGTGTCATCATTGTAATTAGTGCACACTTAAACTTATCAACCCTCTTTGTGGTCAGTCACGTTTTGATTACTAGAGTGTCCCCTCAAAAGAGGTTTTCTGAGAAAAGAACCATTTAGATTAATGAGTGTAGGTAATTTTATCCTTCGAGTTTTTCCATGATTCTTTGTATAGCTGACCCAATTAAAAAAACATAAAAGATAATTTGATCGGCAGTTAAAGAAGGCCGTTAGTTTTACGTTTTTCCTTACAATTCTTATGTGAATGAACCGCCTAAGGCAAGTTTGTATTGGTTCAGAGTTGTTTAATTTAGCGGACTGTGTAGAGTAAGTGTGGACAATTTAAAAAAACAAAACAAAAAAAAACACGGTGATCAGAGTTTAAAAATAATAATAACAAAATACAGGTTGCATACTTAGAGCGTTTATCCCACAATAGGTTTACAGATATAAGCTTGAGATAAATAAAATTAAAATTGAGTCCAGCCTAGAAGCTTTCATAGGTGTTATGACCTCCTTCCCTTTTGTTGATGTTTTTCAATTTTGCTTTGTTTCAGTCTTTCCACACCAGAAAATGTTAAACATTACTGCTCTGTTAATTCAACGTATCCCATCCTCTTTTTTTTGCGGCATATTGATTGAAGTCAGTATACAAGACATACAACCGTCCTTTGTATGGCGAAGCTCCGCGGACTGAGAATATACAATAGCAAGTTCAGTGGATCGAAAACTTGACAAATAATGTTCCTGCTCCACAAATAAATAGTAAAGAAAACAGTAAAGTTTACTAAAATAAAACATAGACGGACCGTGCACTCAGTCTGTGATCCCTCCGTCTTTCAAGATCTCCTTTTCCAAAACGGATAAGTTTTCACAAGTTTGAGGCGAGTACGTTAAAACACCACTGTATTCACATATTGCTCAATATCGATATCATTGCATTCTTTTAACGAAAACGTTTCTAGCTTCCCTAAATCTCACGAATTGTCATTAACGGGGTGAAAGCTGTATTTAGTCAAGAAACGATATATTTTGTCATGATTTTTTTCTGAAATTCATACTTTATTCTTTGCTGACGCCCTTAATCACTAAGCCATCAGCCATAACTTAGCTTATAGTGCTATATTATAGTTAAGCCGTGATATATAGTTCTACCGTGGAACTATATATCACGGCTTAATTTCAACTGAGCTAGTGCTGAGATCGAGAGAATTTTTTCCGTCCCTCTCCCGTCTCGCGCCTTCAGTCACACAGGTTAAGCCTTTCATTAGACTACGAGTAGTCCCCATTTTTCCTCAGGGATAGTAGAGCGAGCGAAACGCGAGCGCGCGTAAAAATCATTCCACGCGAGAAAAAGCGACACGCGGAGGGGATTTTCTCTTCGCTCGCTCTACTATCCCTGAGGAAAATGGCGACTACTCGTAGTCTACCCTTTCATTCACTGGCACATTATGGCAAGATTATTTGTTGATTCTGACTTCTCAATCTGCAGATAAAATCCATGTGGTATTACCATTCAAATAAAACCTCTTGACAGAACATTTGCATGGTCCTATTTATTTCCAAGTATTTTAGAAAACGAGATTTGTTGTTTTTTTTTTTTTGTAATTATTTTTTTTTGCGACTATTATGAGTGAGTTATACGACCAGTTAAGACTAAATTTTGTGACTATTTCCTTGATTATTTACCTAGCTGGCACAACTAACTAAACGTAATTTTAGTAAGTAATTTGACTTGTAGTTAAAGAAGTCAAAGTATATAGTAGGCCGTTAATAAATTTGTTTACAATTTTGAGGCAAATGAAAAATAACTGAGATAAGAACTGATTATTTTCAGTGGCTTTTGTAAAGTGTTAGTATGGCACATTCTCTTAGAAAAAATTATCAGGTGAAAAAAATCTTGAGTCTAGGCTGGCAGTCTTGATTAGTGCTTATTGTCCTCTTTCCCAAGGTTACATTACATCTTTTAAAGTTTCAAACTAGTTCGTGCTCCTGCGGTATTTTGGAACTTGTAGAATCAAACTATATGCCCTTCAGTTCCTTCAACTGTCACTTCTCAGACTTCTTACCAGGAAATCGCAGTGAATACTGCTTTCAACGCACCTGACAGATTTGTAGAAAAAAGATTTCGAACGTTTCACAAGATTAAGGGCCTGTTTACCTGGAGGTGGGGCACCCCAGATAGGTGAGGTAACATGTGGCGGGTCACCCCACCTATAATGTAAACGTGATCAACTTAAAATGAGGGATTATATGGACAGGTGGGTTACTCACCTGAGCGGGAAGCGATTGTAAGAATTTTAGGAAGTATTTTGTTTACATTCTCTTGTACATTCTATTGAATTTATCGAGAATTCGCTCAAATTCAAACCACTTCCATAAAGTCTGGGTTGCCTGTGGTTAAGGAGTAAGGGTCTCGGTAACATCTGTAAATATGGAGAACTAGAAGGCTGGCCCCGGTTGTTCAAACGCTGGATAGCGCTACCCACCGGATAAATCACTATCCAGCGGATAAGTATTACGGAAATCAATTACGCTATCCGCTGGATAGTAATTTATCCGGTGGATAGCGCTATCCGACGTTTGAACAACCGGGCCCTGGTATTGCCAGCCGAAATATTGTCATGTAAAAACAATACACGTTGTTCTGATCAGCTTTGCAGTAGTCTTTGGACTTGTCGTTTTTGGTTCTTAATATTTGGCTGATTAGATCTCTGGAGATCCAACGTTTATAACAAGCAAGATCTTCGTCCACGGTTTTTGCCGTTATTTTAAATCCGTTATTATATATTTTTAAATGCTTTAATAGTTTATGGTACTGCTTTGTTTCTTTCTGCACAAAAAAAAAATATACGAAAAACTCGTATGTCTGCTCAAATTTGGCTCGACTTCAAGTCTCTTATGATCAAATGACGACGTCACCTCGTCATCGCAAGAATAAAAACAGAGAGTCAGAATGCGGAAGTCTCTGCATGTAATGCGTGCCTAGGCGACGCCCAGGCAATGCCCAGGCATGCGTGCCTATCAACAAACAATCCCATGACACACTGCGAGTGCAGCAATGGCGGATGTTAGTGACGCTGTCCTTGTCATACACAAATTCTAACTTTTCCTGTAGAACTCCCATCGCATTATAACATCTGTTGTTTCAAGTTCATTTCTAGAAGCACATGGAAATGTATCAAGGTTGCACGCCGGGTTTTCCTCCTCTCCCGCAAGGCTGGGAGATGAAAGTTGACCCAAGTTCTGGAAGACCGTTCTTTATTGATCACAAAACGAGAACTACTTCGTGGGAAGATCCGAGGGCCCAAAAGCCATACGCGGTGAGTGAAAGTTTTGAAAAAATTCAGCCTTTTTAGCAAGGTTCAAGAACAAAAGGTACGCCCAGTGCAACTCTTTTGGGAAATTTTACCGAAAAAGACTTTAAGAAATTGATTGCACAACTATAAGGTTGATACTATAAGCTTACATAAAAACTGTTCAATAATCGAACGACTTACTGTCCTTTAGTACCCATGGTCGTCTCCCGCTTCGTTGAAGTGTGACAAGTAATTCGCACCTAGTCAACTGAGTCATATCTTATCCATAATTTTTTTGGCAAAACACAACTGCTGAACTTAAAGCATGAGATTGCCGTGTAGAACAGCCTACTGAGGCTTAAAACTTTGTTTTGTTTGATAATCTGTGCATATTGTCTTTCAGCAGCATGTTCTTAAAAGTAAAATATTTGTCCAGTGAGGCCTTTCACTGCTGTAATTTGAAATAAAAGTTAAAAGTTAAAATTCGAACTGTCACCATTTCATTGATGATGCTGTTGATCAATGAAAGCTCCAATTAGAATTTTAAACTTTTATTTTAATTACAGCAGTTTAAGGCCTCATTGAACAATATTTTACTTTTGTATGTTTTCTTTTTGCCCTGAATTCTCAAACTCTCTTTCATAAGTGAGTTTCCATGTTGTCATGATAGCCATGAACAGCTGAAGACTGAGATTGCAAGAAGAAAAAAAAAACAACAAAAACACTTGTATCATTGCCTGGCATGACTTTACTAGAAGTATAAGCTGTCTAGTAGTAGGAGATCCCATTTGGTATAAGCTTCTAGAGGGCTCCTTGTGGCCTCTCATTCTTATTCAGCAGGCGTATTGATGTAAATTTTGTGACAAATGCAAAATAAACAATTAAAATCTGTCTGGCAGGTACCTGGTTCTCAGCCAACCAATCAAACACCAACACAGCCTTTCCAGATGCCATCAGCAAATCCTGGTCAACAGTATCAGACTCATTCAGCATCAAATACAAGTCAGTCATATCAAATGCCTTTGCAAAGTTCAAACTACCAGAATCAAGTGGCCAGTCATCAGTCTTATCAAATGCCACCTGGTCAGCCTCAACAGATGCTGCCAGCAAGACAGTCTTATATGTCTAGAGATGGCTCTGTGCCTGGGAAGCCGTATCAAACACAACAGCCTCCAAATCAACCTCTCCATAATTCAGGTCCGAGTCAACAGTACCCAGCCTCCATGCCTGTCGCAAACACAAGCCAAGGTTATCAAATGTCTGCTGCAAATACAAGCCAATCAAACCAAATGACAGCTGTGAGTCCAACATCAACTCCTGGTGGCCCGTATCAAACTATGACACAATCCCCTGGTGCTTTTCAGCAAGCATCCTCTTTGGCTCCAGATCAATCATATCAAGTACCACCACAGCCATATCATGCCCCTCCACCAAACCTGGATCAACCTTTCCAGGTATGATTCTGACCCTTTGAGTCATTAATGAAGGGTCCCCAGCAAAAATGCCCCCTTCTCCTTATTTCCCTTCGGAGGAGGCATAATATTTTAGTATAATGTATTACAATGGCTAGCCTGAAAATATAGCTGTCTCTCCTTGCTCCAATAGGCCACTTGCACTAAGAGGTTACGTGACCAATACTTCCCTTAAACAATTAGTTGGAATCCTGCTGATACCAAAAATTGACAGAGCACATAAAAATTATCTTACTGAAATTTGAGAGGAAAAGCATCTAAGGGAGATATTTTATGGCACTTTGATTTTTCAGCAAAGTAGTATGATTTGTATTGGCTGCCATGTTAGAGGGCATACTCTTGCCCTCCAACATGGTGGCCAAAACTAGTGTTTGCTTACATCTTGTTAAACTTTTGATAGTTATGCTCAGATGTGCTGCAAACGTTACCACATCATTTTTTCAACATTTTCCTTGAAGTTTAAGTGCAAAATTTGTATTCAGAAAGAAGTAATTCGTAATTTTCAAAATCACATTTTGGTCACGTGACCAGCTAGAAACTTACTCATTTAAAGACAATGGTATAGGTTTGAAAAACCAAATCACTTTTATTTTGTTTAGGATATGACCCACTAATCATTTTTTGAAGGCAAAATCATATAACTTTCATTTCCATAAAAACGATGTCACATGACCTGTTAGGTGGCAATAGGCCATTAAATGGCCTATTGCCACCAGATGGCTGCTGATAAGTGCATTTAGTAACAGCTGCAGAACAGTGCCCATATCCTTGTTTTCAGCCCCCAATAAACTCACTGAATTACTAGAAATGCATTTTGAATTTCCCTCAACCTAATTGGCCAATGAACAATAAGATTTCAGCACTGTTTCACAGAAGGACTAAACCAGATGTCCAGTTCCGTCTGTGACACAGGCTTGTTTCTTACTAGAGAATCTCTGTTACCTTATACTGTCTATAATATTATGGAAATAAAATAATATTATATTGTGCAGGTTTCAAGTTCTAGCCTTGGCCAACCCATTCCAGATGCAAGATCACTTCCTGGTCAGCCTGTGCAACCTCAGACGCCCTCTTTTCAGGGAAACCAAGCTCTTCCATCGACTAGCCAATCGTACCAGGGTTCAGGTCAAACATATCCTCCAACTTCTCACAACCCCCATCAATCATATCAACCAAGTCAAAGTCCTGGGCAGCCACCATTCCAAAGTGCAAGGTCTGCGTTTCCTGGGTACCCATCGGGTTACCCTCATCAAGGGCAAGTGAATGTACCACAGACTGACAAGCAATACCAAATGGATGGTCTTCCAAGCACAGCACCATTTCCCTCAGCTCTTGGTGTAGATGGTTCAAGACCCACTCAACAAGTTTCTCCGGGTCATTTAGCAGGGAGCGGGCAACAACCACAGCAAATAATGCCGCCCTCCTCTGTTCCTCACTCACCTGGAATGATAGGTTCTAATCAACAGGTACAACAATATCCTTATCAAAATAACTATTATTCCTCGCCTCCGACACCAACTATGCCAGGAAATAGACCAGTACCAGATAGCCAGGGGAACATGCCATATCCGACATCATCGGTTTCAATGCCCCAAGGCTACGGTCAACAGACAAATGATGGAAGACCAGTGACTTACCCCCCATCTGTCCCACCCCAGACACCACAGCAATGGATACCTCCATTTGCACATGCTGGACCTGCTGGTCACATGAGCAGTCCATATCAGTATGGTTCTCAACCAGTATCATACCCTCCAGAACAGTCCATTAACAGGCAACCACAATCGCAGACTCCTCAGTCCAGTTATTATCCAGGTTCATACACAAGTGGACCTGGGTATTCAATGCCAGGTCAACAACAACCTGTATCTTCCAGTAGGCAGCCCTATGTACAGCCTCCCTCACAAGCTTATAGACCTGGTTACCCGCAGCCTGGTGTGGCTGATCCTCGGGCCGCTCAGTATTCTCCTCACAGGTCTGCTTCATCAGCTTCGAAAATCAGCTCAATTGACGTGCTGCTGTGTCATGCAGAGGAGTTGGAGCCTAGAGTGTTGAATTTCTCTGGGAGAAGAGGTAAGCTGTAGTTTAGTAGAGTGTGGGCGCTTGTTTGAGGAAATACGTCATTTTGTTATATAAGCACCAATGGAATACCAGGTGAGCATTGGTGGGAAAACATGATTATTATTATTTTTCCCATGTGAAATTAACAGGTTATCTTCACACGCGAACAGATCACCATTGCTATGACTACATAATAAAACACACCTTTCACAGCAAAAAACTATTAAAGTGAAATAGTTTACTATTCTCATTGGGAACTGTCACGCGCAAGCACCCCCTGTGCCCTTGGGACCCGTGCATTTAAATTCCAGCGCATCTGTGGATCTGCGGGGAACTTGTTTTGCATATATTTGTGAGTTTAGTATAAATTGACCTTTTTCATGCTGTTTATTGCTCTTTTCTTTAAAACGGACACCAGACACCTAGTTTGTTGCCCCACCCACCTCCCTGCAGCGATGGCACACTCTGGCGCCTTATCTCCCGCTCCTTCCTGCCTCTGGGCTTGCCTCTTCCCATAACTCATCTCTACCTTGGGGTGTTTGCGAGTGGGGGCTCCTGGTGAGAATCTATTACTATTTCATTTGGTATTTATATGATAAAATCAATAGAACATTATGGTCGCTTGGAGATACAGAATTTCCTGATGAGAAATTTTGTATCTCTGTGCGGCCGTGTAATATCCTCTATTTTTCCAACCAAAATGTCGGTGACTTAAAGGGCATTCAAAAATATTGTGTAATAAAAATTAATACAGTACATTGGGCTTCAGAACCCAGCCAAATAGAAGGGCAGAACATAATCAGATTTTAAAAAAGAAAATAACATAATTATTGGAAAAGAAAATAATGCTTTGCAAAATAATGGGTGAAGAATTCTTTTGAAATTTTTATTAGCAGAACATAACTTATTTTATTATATAAGACATGAGTGTTTTACTGGAAAGTATACCACTTGTAAAATTAATAAAAGCTACATCCGGGGCCCGAGTGGATTATTTTCCATAATCTCACACGTGAGTTTATCGATGACGTAATTTCGGTAATTTCCCTCCATTATTTCATCAATGTCTTTTTGTCTATATAATAAAAAGAACATTACATGGCGGCTTGAAGATATGAGTTTTATTTTCTTATGGCGAAAACAATATTTTACTCACTCGCTGCGGTCGTTCATAAAATATTGTTTTGCCACTCGAAAATAAAATCATATCTTCGCACCACCGTGTAATATCCTCTATATACATTTTTAATTATTGTTAATTATATTGGTAAAGCAAATAATGCTTTGGAAAATAATAATGTGTGAAGGAAATCTTGAAATGTATGTTAGCAGCACAATATAACTTATTGTATTATACATTGTACTCATTATCTGTGTTCTCATTGGCTAAAAGTGTACAGCTAATTTTGGAAATCAGTGCAACCTACAGATTAGTCAGTTACCTGGTAGCAGATAACTGACAAATCTGTAGTCAGTTATCCGAATACTCTGAGTAATCTGTAGGTTACATGCAGTGCATGATTTCCAATAACATTATCAATTCAGGTTCCTCGCGACAGTGTGTTTGTTGTTATTTTCTTCAAAACAATGTATAATCTGGGTAACTGTTATCAGCCTCGGCCTTTGGCTTGGCTCATAACACTTACCTCAACCTTGGTTATTGCGGATATGACAAGAACCTCATCCAATAATAATATTATTTAATACATTTTCAATTATTATTCAAATCATTATTAATTTTTGCTCCTCTTTCCCCAGGTGATAGGGAGTTTATTTTTCTAGATGAGCAGCTAACTAAATTAATTTTGGATCTTGATAAAGTCCAAACTGATGGCTTAGAAGATGTCCGAATAGCGCGCAAGTCAGCTGTAAAGAGAATACAGTTCTTGATTGACACTTTAGAATCTAAAGGCTGAACAGCAACATAATATTATTTATAGTTATGGATTGAGTTACTAGAAGCCCGATTAGCTCCAATTGGCCTTTTGCATTAGTTGATCATGTGATCAACTTTCTGGAAAAACCAAAACAGTTCGGGTTTGAAAACTTTTCTTAGCACGAACTGAAAGAGCTTGTTAAAATTAGATAACCTGTAAGTTTTCAGCCATTTATTCATAAAATATTCCATCAAGCATAACAGCCGAACAACGAAAAGATTTAACAGGCAGTCTAAAAATGTCAACATTTACAAGGATTTGTATGGAAAACCACTCATGCATGACTGGGTGGCAAGAATTGTTTTCTCATACCAATCCTTCTAATTTTTGACGGTCATTGCAATCGCTACTTTTGAGATATACAGCCGTAAAATTACTTGTTCCCTAACTTTAATATGCTCTTTCAGTTCCTACTAACAAAATTTTCCAAAAGTGAATGATTTGCGAGTTTACAGAAAGATGATCACCTGACCAATTATTGCAAAAGGCCTATTCTGGGTTAAGTTGTCAAGGTAACCATTGATGGATTGGGGAGGGGTTGGACTCAATTTTAGGTCAAAACGGAGGCCTGAGGAGCAGCCTAAGAGCAGTTCTCCTTAAGTTGATCCACCGCTGGTAACCATGGTAACCCCAGATTTCTTCTAATTGGTTTTCAACCAACTTTGTCAATATCTTGAGATCTAAATGTGAGGTGAGATGAGATTTTTCCGTCTAAAAACATTTCTTGAGAGTTGATGTTTACAATGTTTGTACCCTGGTCGTAACATGGTTTTAGCATTCTCCTAAAATATGGACGCCCCATAGTGATTTCCATTGCTTACTGCTAGTAGAGTTAGACTAGGCAATAAGAATATTGTTGCACTTTGCCTTTTGATGCTTATGTTAGAAAAAAATTATTCTTGGTAACTTAAACAATCATTTCCCCAAGTCAATTGGTTTGATATTTAACTTTTAGATGAGCTTTTTTTTGTTAGAATTCAATAATGCTTACAGCAATAGAAGAAGAATTTATCAGTTTTATAGTGCAGTAAAAAGCACTTATAGCTAGAACCTGAAAGACATTGTTCACCTTTAATTAATTTTACAAAGTTTATAACAAAGTTGGCAAGTTATAATAAAAGTAGAAAGGACAATATTTTAAATTTATTTTAAGGATGTGGTTCACCATTATAATGGCTGTATAATGGTTGTGAATTGAATTGTACACTGTTTTAGTGTATACTTCAAAAATACCTGTATGCTTGGCAAAAGTTTGTACAAGTTAAAAATATAATGTTATTAGAGGTTTAATCAATATTTAGTGGATAAAATCTTCATGTTAGTTAATGGATAGGTCCAGGTGACCAGATCATGTTGCCTAGTAAAATATGTTATTTTTGGTGCATTTGTGTCAGCATTTTGTTTACTGGAAGAAGTGAGAAACAAGGCTGTGCTTTAAGAAAAATTTCCCGGGGATTGGAGGCGGGGGGGGGGGGGGGGGGGTCTTTTGGGTTTTTTTTGGTGGGGTTGGTGTGGCGTCTCCCCGCCACCCCTCCCCCTTTTTTGTTTTTTTTGGGCCCCACATAAGGACCCATTTTCTGTCTTTTTTGGAAAATGGATTTTTTGGTGTCCAAATTAACTGAAACCCGTCAGACTCCTTTGTTATATGTTTTTGTGGACCTGAAAGTGCACAACGTTCAAAAGAATTCCTATCATTTTGATTGTATTGACCAATAAAAACATAGCATTAATTTATTCCGTAACAATTTGTCAACAGAAAACAAAGGATTGTGCACTTTCAGGGTGCTTCCAACATAGACTGCAGCACTGTTGTTTTTATCATTGATGTTTGCCGCTTTTCATAACCAGTCTCCTCTAATAACTATGTTTATAGTTATGGACTGAGTTACTAGAAGCCCTATTAGCTCCAATTGGCCTTTTGCATTAGTTGATCATGTGATTAACTTTCTGTAAAACCAAAACAGTTTGCTTTTGAAAACTTTTGTTAGCACGAACTGAAAGAGCTTGTTAAAATTAGGTAACCTGTATGCTTTCAGCCATTTATTCATAAAATATTCCATCAAGCATAACAGCCAATTTGAGCCCTTACGTGCAGAATGCAAAGATTTAACGGCAGTCTAAAAATTTCAAAATTTACAAGGATTTGTATGGAAAACCACTCATGCGTGACTGGGTGGCAAGAATTGTTTTCTCATACCAATCCTTCTAATTTTTGGCGGTCATTGCAATCGCTACTTTTGAGATATACAGCCGTAAAATTACTTGTTCCTTAACTTTAATATGCTCTTTCAGTTCCTACTAACAAAATTCTCCAAAAGTGAACAATTTGCGAGTTTACAGAAAGAAGTTGTCAAGGTAACCATTGATGAATTGGGGAGGGGTTGGACTCAACTTTTAAGTCAGAACGGAGGCCTGAGGAGCAGCCTAAGAGCAGTTCCCCTTAAGCTAAGGTTTGGATCCACCACTGGTAACCATGGTAACCCCAGATTTGTTCTAATTGGTTTTCAACCAACTTTGACAGTATCTTGAGATCTGAATGTGAGGCGAGATAAGATTTTTCTGTCTAAAAACGTTTCTTGAGAGTTGATGTTTACAATGTTTGTACCCTGGTCGTAACATGGTTTTAGCATTCTCCTAAAATATGGACGCCCTATGGTGATTTCCGTTGCTTACTGCTAGTAGAGTTAGACTAGGCAATAAGAATATTGTTGCACTTTGCCTTTTGATGCTTATGTTAGGAAAAAATTATTCTTGGTAACTTAAACAATCATTTCTCCAAGTCAATTGGTTTGATACATATTTAACTTTTAGACGAGCTTTTTTTGTTAGAATTCAGTAATGCTTATAGCAATAGAAGAAGAATTTATCAGTTTTATAGTGCAGTAAAAAGCACTTATAGCTAGAACCTGAAAGACATTGTTCACCTTTAATTAATTTTACAAAGTTTATAACAAAGTCGGCGAGTTATAATAAAAGTAGAAAGGACAATATTTTAAATTTATTTTAAGGATGTGGTTCACCATTATAATGGCTGTATAATGGTTGTGAATGGAATTGTACACTGTTTTAGTGTATACTTCAAAAATACCTGTATGCTTGGCAAAAGTTTGTACAAGTTAAAAAAATAATGTTATTACAGGTTTAATCAATATTTAGTGGATAAAATCTTCATGTTAGTTAATGGATAGGTCCAGGGGACCAGATCATGCTGCCTAGTAAAATATGTTATTTTTGGTGCATTTGTGTCAGCATTTTGTTTACTGGAAGAAGTGGGAAACAAGGCTGTGCTTTAAGAAAAATTTCCCGGGGATTGAAGGGGAGGGGGGGGGGGGTTACTTTGGTTAATTTTTTCTGGGTTTTTGCTGCTGGCCTCCCAGAACCCCTTCCCCATTTTAGTCTTTTCTGGGGCCAAATATAGACCCCATCTTGGTCACTTTTGGGAAAATGTAATTTTTGTGATCACAACTTAACCTCATAAAGCCTTTTAACTAGGTCGTCCCGAAAAGAATTGACACATTGGTTAACCTTAATGAAGTAAAAATCATCCCATTTTTAAATTCTTACCTACCTGAATTTTCTGATCCCTCAAATGCCAGAAATGTGCGATCACATTCTAGTAAGTCCAATTAAAAATGCAACCCCAGAATAGTCAATCCAGCCGTGAAAATGCAACCCCACCCCATTCGCCTATTACTAGTAAGTATCCCCAGGGGAAAATTTTAATGGAGCCTGGTGCTCTAAACCTGTAAAATCTAGGGTGCCCAGCATTGGATTTCTATATAAAAAAGCTAAGATTTCCTAGTTGCTCAAGAGCAAAAGTTAGGTGCCAGCAGGCACTGGGCTGCTCTACTGAGGGCTTGTTTTTACAAGAGACAAATTTGGAGTCAGAGTTGGAGCTTATGACCAAGTGAGATTAATAAAAAAATTGAGTCATAAGCACAGTTATAATCAAGGCAGAACCGAGTCAGAAGAATCAGAACGTTCCCAACTTCCTTTGACTCCACCTATGACCCCTTCGCTTAGGGATCTAGTGGAATTCGAAATCAGATCTTCAGGGTCAGAAGCAGAAGTGGAAGGATTAACCAATCACAATGCTCCTTCCCCTGTAAAATAATTTGTGATTGGTTTAGTTTTGCTGCTTCTGCTTGCGTCTACAATAACCTAGTTTTCACCAGATCAAAACAATGGAGTTGAAAGAGATTGTAATTATGCTCTATCCTTCTGATTTCAATGGTAAAAACTGACCCTGACTCCAACTCTGTTGCTAGTGAAAACCAGCCTTTTGGGTTTAGGGAATAGATAACCTGTTGAGGCAGTGGTTTTCACCATAATGACCAAAGCAACAATTGCTTGGATTACTGAAATATTGCAATAATTGCTCAGTGTACAGAAAAAAACACGTCAGGGATTATAGTAATCACAGTAATTTATTAAACTGGAGCTTTACTTTTACTTTAACAATGTAAACATCGCAAAGTTGAGTCTGCGATCAGTGGAAAGGGGATAACTTCAAAAACACCTTATCTTGATGGGTCAAAACCTGACCTGAGCCTGCAATATGGTCATGTGATTCTGGTCAGTAAATACCCCTTTTTGACAGCTGTCAATAATTGACAACAACATGGATGTGCAATATCAGATTACAGGCTCTCACACTAGTTTTTACATTGGTTTTCCTATGGTGTGGACGGACGGACAGATGGTTACATGACTACCAAAATTTTTCGGATGATTAGATAACCAAGTTTTTTTTAGCTGTGGAGCTCTGCTCGCACGTGCATGCAGCTTCGCTAGAACTTTTATTTTAGTGGTCTCAATATGTGATTTCATCAACAGGGTTAAAATTTAAATCCAATTACAAGATTTGAAAGTTTTAAGTAACTTTTATTAACCCTTTAAGTCCCAGTAGTGACCAACATCAATTTTCTCCCAATGATACCCATACATTGTCAAGAGACTAAGTCATGAGAATTAATAAAAGGATCACTAAGCGAAAATTGCTTGATCTTTTATCAAATTCTCTCAACTCATTCTTTAAGGAAATATATAGAGATCAGTTTGGAGAATTTGTATGTGAATATTGGGGCTTAAAGGGTTAAGGGAAGAATCAATGTTTCTTGCAGACTTTAACCCTGCCCTTACTCTTAGAATCTTTCAAATCAGAGCTTCTTTCTACTAGTCCAGCAACCTTCATTATATCCCTTGCACAATTATTATAATGCTTGAATCTGTCGGGACCCAAAAGAATTCCGCCATACCACCGGGTTACTATGACAACAATGTTTTTCACGTTGAGGATTTGCAACAGATGTAAGAGCCTTGAACCAGCCATGGCTTCCCCATCATCGTCACAGTCATGGAGATAAGAATTCCTATCATCAATGAAAATTCTATACGCCATTACATTATGGGTGGCATTGTTTATTTTTCTGTTTTGCTTCAGTTCTTCAAGAACTTGTCGCACTTGGTCTTGAGTAACAACATGGGCTAGATGAGCTTGGAAAGTACTCTTTCTGTCTGTAAATGGTTCTCCATGGATTATTTGAGGCTTTTCATCCAATTCTGTGCTTTTAATCAATTTTAGTGTATCAACTTCAGATTTTGAGTAATCAAATTTCTTTGATTCTTCAAATAAAGTTTCATCTTCTTGGGCATCTGTCACCTCCTCTCCTGTCGGTATGTTTTTGTCTTTATCTAAGAGAAGAGAAAAATCAAACTGTTGAATTTCTACTGACCCCAGCTCTCCATGATGGCCAAATCAGACAGTCCATACACTCGCACTAAGGCCACAATATCCAGATAGGAATTCTTCAGACTGAACCCTGGACATTTCCTTTTTAAAGAATAAGTTGACAAAATTTGACTTAAGATCAAACTGGTCACCACCATGAAAAAGGTCTGGAAGAGTCTTTTTGGGGTCCGGGATTTGACCCAAAATATTGTGTGGGATTCGGGAAAATGCAAATTTATTGACAGGATACAGGATTTTACCTCTACCCAGGAGGTGGGATTCACCCCAAAATGTTGCACAGGATGCAGTACTGGAAAGAAAGTAGCATTCAGGAATATAGAGAGGCAGAAGTTAAGAACATGGGATTGTTGGGAAAAAAGAAGTGGGAGTGCGGGATCAGGATCCCCCATTCCAGACTCTGCATGAACATGCTTTGATCTTTTATCAAATTGTTTCAGGACATGTATAAAGATCAGTCTGGAGGATTTGTATGTAGAGACTAGGGCTTTAAAGGATTGTTTGAAGGAAACGTTTCCTAGCCTACGTGTAGCCTCAACCCCCCCTTCCCCCCCTGCCTGACAAATTTAAAACGGAGAGAGGGAGAGTGCCGTTACACATAGGCCATACTAT